TTAGTCCTGGTAGAAATGGCTGCAGGCTTTTCTAGATCTCATCAAGCCTTGGAAACAAACAGTTTCACCCTCCCCCCCCGCTGAAGCTGTGCCTTCAGGAGCCAGGGGAAGCAGCTGTGATCTTTGTGTTCTCAAGGTCTAAGTGTTCAAGATGGCCTGTGCTGGCATAAGGGGAGTTTGGCTATTTAGATGTCGTCCTTTTAGTTAGGAGATCCAGGGGAAGTCCAGCAGCTACTAATTAGGTACCCAAACTCCTCATTCCCCAAGTCTTTGATTATTTTCAGAAAAATGAACAGCAGAAGGATGTTACAGTTATCATTATCACTAAGAGTAACTTTAATAGATTTTTAACAGGCACCCTGTACCCTGGTGGTTGCCTTTCGTCCATCTCAAACCATGGAGGTGGAGTAGTGGTGGGGTAGTCTTAGAGATGAGGATCCTATTGAAGAATAAATTTGAAGGGACACTGTAAGCACAGCTTGGTCTTTGTGTGACTGAGACAGGCTAAATGGACCATGCGCACGATCCTCTGAATAGGACCTAATTCATAATGCTATACTGTGGTTAGCATACAGGAAATGCTAGATAAATGATGGTGGCTTGTTCCCCCTCCCCCAAAGGACAGATGGGCAGGGAAAAGGTTAAACTTCCTGTCTTAATCTTCAGTGCTTAATCTTAAGCACTGAGATTAAGATTTGCTGATGGTGAGATGGAGTCATGACTCAGCGTTAAGAGCACTCACTGCTTGTAGAGAACCCAGGTTGGATTCACAGCATCCACATGGTGGCTCATTTCCATTAATAATTCCAGTTCCAGAGGGATCCGATGCCCTCTTCTGGCCTCTTTGGGCACTGCATGCATATGGTACACAAATGTACAGGAAGGCAAAAATATCCAAACATATAAAAGGAAAAACTTTGCTGGGGGGGGGGGGATGAATCACGGTCCAAAGAAATTTGTCCATTCACTAATACAGAATCAGTAACACACATAAAAACCAACATCCTACAAATACTTGGATGGCTGCTGCCAAGGGATGGCTATGCTTCAAGGATAGCCAGGGCACAGCCTTTCTGTTGTCCTTGCTGGAGTGGATGAAGTGGGGAGGACACAATGGGGGAGCAGGAATTAAACCCACAATAGAGGACAGATCGTCTATTGCGCTATGCGTTCCCGTGGCTATATGCTACAGGCCCTGTCCTCGGCCATCCTTCTTTGTCCAGCTTACCCAGTACTGTAAAGACCCATTCTCGGCAATCCTAGCACATGCACAGTGTCCAGCATACCTGGCTCCTCACATCCTTCCCGCCTCAGCAGTTAGGCTGCATTTCCTCCAAATCCAGGGCAGATTCAGGCCCCAGACCAAGCAGAGACTGGTGACACCTCTGGGATTCCAGTTTCCAGTAGGGGAATCCCTTGTTTGAGTCCCTGGGCATGTGGCGTCTGTGCAGCCCCTGCCTGGAGCCCGCTGCACTCTGACGCTTGGCCCTGCCTGCTTCTGTCCCTTGTCGCCTGCAGGGTCAGCGTTCTGTGATGGCCGAGGTGCACCAGCAGCGGCGCCAGCTGCTACACCGCGCCTGCAGCCGCCACACACGACGCCAGCGTCTGTTGCAGCCAGAGGACCTTCGGCACGTGCTGGTGGACGACGCGCATGGACTGCTGTACTGCTATGTGCCTAAGGTGGCCTGCACCAACTGGAAGCGCGTGCTGCTGGCGCTGCGTGGCCGTGGGGACCCGGGCTCCATCCCTGCGCACGAGGCGCACGCGCCTGGCCTGCTGCCCTCGCTGGCCGACTTTGCGCCGGCCGAGGTCAACCGAAGGCTTCGCGACTACCTGGCCTTTCTCTTCGTGCGCGAGCCCTTCGAGCGCCTGGCCTCGGCCTACCGCAACAAGCTGGTGCGGCCACACAGTGCTGCCTTCCAACGGCGCTATGGCACACGCATCGTGCGCCGCCTACGACCACATGCACAGCCCGATGCGCTGGCCCGCGGCCACGACGTGCGCTTTGCTGAGTTCCTGACCTACCTCCTCGACCCGCGAACGCGCCGCCAGGAGCCCTTCAACGAACACTGGGAGCGCGCGCACGCGCTGTGCCACCCATGCCTAGTGCGCTATGACGTGGTGGGCAAATTCGAGACGTTGGCAGATGACGCGGCCTTTGTGCTGGACCTGGTGGGTGAACCCGGCCTGCACTTTCCTGCTCCACCACGGAGGCCTGAGAAGGACCCTACGCGTGACCAGGCCCGGCGCCTTTTCCAGGACATCAGTCCCTTTTATCAGCGCCGCCTCTTTGACCTCTATAAGATGGACTTTCTGCTCTTTAACTATTCCGCCCCCTCCTACCTGCGGCTGCATTAGGGGCGCTGGGTGTCGAGAGGGCCTATGACCAAGAGGCCACCAGGAGGTCTGGAATGAACCTGTAGTGTGAATTGGAGAACCATTCTCATTCCATACTCAGTGGGCCTGACCCAGAACCTGGACACAGGCCACACTCATACCTATGGGTTGGGCACAACTCAGGTGACAGTTCTGGCTGGCCTTTTCTGCCTTTGGTTTGATGCATATCTCTTCTTACTGCAGGTGGCAGGCTTCTGCTTCTTTCCTAGACCCCAGTGTTTGTTTGGTTTGGTTTGGTGGCGTTTTGGTTGTGAGAGGCTGATCTCAGTCATGTCTAGGCAGAACCTGTCCATGCTGCTACAAGACAGAATGCCAGGGTTTGGTTCTGAGTGGCCTGAGGTCCTGCCCTGGGCCTTCCTGTCTTCACCCAGACTGGCAAGGGCAGACATGGCCAGAGAGAAGCTATGCCCTGACCAGCCTTGGGAGGTGTGTCACCAGGTACTGCTTAGGAGTCACCATGAACAGCCTGCCCCGTTGGCAGCCACAGGATGGCAGAGCAGTGCCGTCCACCTTTGCTTGGCTGGTCTCTCTTTGATCTCATTGGAAGATTCCAGGTCTTCCCCTGTGTCCTCAGAGGCCAGGGTGCAACATGGTGGCAGTTTTTCCGGCACGCGGGGGAGCTGGCCTGGTCATGGTTTTTAAATAAATATGTTTTGTTACATTTTTCACTTTGGGGAGTTTCTCTGCTTCATTGGGCAGTTTACCTGCCTGATCTTGGGCAACTCGGTATTTCTGAGCCTCAAGTTTCTTCTGCTGAGTTGCGCAAGAATGCGCCATGGCAGGCATATCAGAGGAAAGTGGGCATGGAACCCAGATCACCTCCACAGCAGCGCTCAGGTGCCAGTGGTGGTGGCAGCAAGACGGCAGCTGGAGTTCGAGAGTAGCCAAGAATAACCAATGGGCAGCAGAAACGGTGGAGAGCAGACAAGAGATGGGAGAGAGAGGGCCAAGAGCTGTGGCTGAAGAGAAATGGCTGTGAAGATACGGGGGGCGGGGCTCACTTACTGTTGGGGCAAAGGATTCTGACATCCACGACCTGTCAGGAAGCTGTAACACTGTGACAGCAGGCATTGCCTACCGTCTGCTGTCTGCCACCTGCTTCTGGTGCTGTTCACTGTTGCCAGAAGCGCCTAGTGATGGGCTGCTGGCTAAAGCTCAGTCTGAGCGTGTGGAACCCCTAGTCTTTGGCTTCTACAGCCTGGAACAACAGGACCCTAGCTCTCAGGATTTAAACTGCAGTCTCTGGTTGTGCCAGTGTAGCTCTTGAGCCTGGGGCACTGAACAGTTGGGACTGCCAGCACTGCAGTTTCTCCTCTCCTGCTCGGAGTTCTGTCTAGGTATAGTAGGACCTCAGGCAGCTGCCTGAGAGCAGGCAAAGTGAAACCCCATCCGTGGGGTGCAGAGAAGCCCTGGGGTCTACCTGCTCAGCCACTCACCCCTGGCCCTTTTCCATGCTGGGTTCTCCCTCACAGGAACTTGCCTGGAGCCTTCAGAGCAGCGGTCGGTGAGCAACCACAGGCCCATGCAGGACTCTTGCATCTATGGATCTTAGAAGGAACTGCCACTGCTGCTGCTGGCTGTATGAATCCTGGCCCCAAGACTGCTCTTCTCCCCACTGGAGGAACGTGGAGAGCCCAGAGCCTGGTATCTTTCCCAGAAACCCAAGACCAGAGCTCTGCCCTTCCAACCAAACTATGGAGTGAGAGGCTGGGGCCCGTGGTCACACCAGTCCTCACCCACCCTCTCCACTTGTATGTCCCGGCCCTCACTTTGTGACAGTTCACTGGGTGCTCAGCTGGTTCACACCTGTTTATCACTCACCCTAGTTCCCAGCTCGGCTCAGCTTTCACAGAGTCCCTGATGGAGCCTGTTTGCTGAAGCTGACACCCAGCTCTAATGCCACACTACCAGGTGTGTCGCATCCAGATGCATTGAGGTGCATGCTGCCACCTTCAGTGCTGTGCACGCTGCTGATAGTCACACACACACCCTCTAATGAGGCAGCGACTGTTATGCTCCCTCCAGACGTCCCCTCACATGCCAACATGTCCCCTTTCGGGCAACACACACACGTGCATGCACACACACATTTTTTAACATACACAAGACAACTTCTCACATATTTCAATGCTTTAAAATTATTTCTATACCAAGTCGGGCAGTGGTGGCACACGCCTTTAATCCCAGCACTCGGGAGGCAAAGGCAGGCAGATCTCTATGAGTATTAGGCCAGACTGGTCTACAAGAGCTTGTTCCAGGACAGGCCCAAAACTACACAGAGAAACCCTTTCTCGAAAAAAAAAATTCTATACCTTATAGATCTTTCCAAATCAACACATAGTTGCTCCTTTTTTAACGGCTACCTAAGATTGTAGGTGTAGCTGTGAGCACCGGTGATGCCGGTGTTTAGTTGGCTTCGCACTCTCGCTGTTTCCAGCTGGCAGAATGATTTCTGTTATTGTCCCAGTACCTTGGCTTATGTGCACATGTATCTGGATAAAGTTCTAGAAGTGTCATTTGCTCTTTTGAGTCTTTACTCCAAGGCCTCCTGATTAAATATTATACCCACTTTAAAAATGGGAAACTTGAGGCAAATTGATCAGTCCGAGCAGAAGTGGACTGCAAAATCCACAAAGTTTATTGGTGCTGTGCGATTTTTGGGTGTGGGGGGGTGGGCCACTCCTGGTTTTTGGTGGGCTACAAGGCTGTTCCTCTTTACAAAGATCTTTGTGGCAGCTGCGTGGAACAGAGAGAAGGTGGTTGAGGAAGGAGCCATGGAGAGTGGACGTTCTAGGAAAAGCTCTCAGTTGGCCCTGAAGCACCACTGGTGTAGGGCTGGTCAGCACTGGCCTTCAGAGGAGCTTGCTAAAGTCTTGTCTAGGGAAACGGAGGCGCAGTAATTTAAGTTCCCAGAGGTTACACAGTGGAGGATGCGGAGGCTGTGAGCAGCAACTGAACGGCAATGTGAAGTCCGGAGCTCCGACCCTAGAGAAGCCACATAGAACCACACCTGACCCAGGGAACCCTGCAGGTCCAACCAGCCAGGGCAGACAGGACCACATCTGGGAGGGATTTTGAAGGATGTCTCCAGCCAGGCCTGTCCCAGGCCTATATGCAGCCTCTGTAGCTAATGACTGCCAAAGAGGCACAGAAATTCTCCTCTTGCTCCCTGCTCATCCAGCCTTGGAAATCCAAGTTAGACACAGCAGATTTTGAATGCTTCATGGGCCTCAGGGTGTACCCTAGTTCTGCCCATCTACTGAGGGAGCTTTGTTGGTTGATAAACTCAGCTAAGTCATGGTTATTTTTCTTCTGTAGTTACCACCACCTGAGACCTAGCTCTCCTTGAGACTGTCCTCAATGTGAGACTGGTCCCTCCCACCCATGACTGGCTCCTCTTACCTCCTGGCCTGAGGCTGCCTTCACAAGTCCACTAGGTGGGTCCTTGCTCTCTCCCCACCCCTTATGGTACCTGCAAATGCAGTCCCCTACGCTGGGCTTCTCCTTCAAGGTCCCTGTTCCTCTTTTACCTTCCTCCTTCTCCTTTCTCTGTGTCCTGGGCCACTCAGCTGGCCTTCTTGTCTGGATTCCCAGAAAGTAGCAGGCACAGGTTCAGAGCTAGAGGGCTGCATGGGGCTGGGTTTCTCCACTTGCACCCTACTCCTCTGTTCTAATGTAGTGAGTTGGGCAGTCTCAACATGCATTTCCTAGCTGCTGAACCCTGGCTGTTCTGTCTGGAGAAGAACTAATTTCTCACAGTGGTTGGACTGATGCATTGGGGTAGGACTGGGGTGTCAGGGTATCCTTTGCCACTGGGCTGGAAGTCCCTCAGGATAGAGCAGCCTGTCTACCATGCCCATATACAGGCAGCACTTACAGTCTGGTGGAGTCTCTTGCTTCCTGCACCTCTGTTTAGGATGGAGCACTGTAGTCACGTGTCTGCTGACTCTCTGAGAGGGCCTGTCCAAAGGTGACTGAGGGTTCCATGGATAGGGTGGGTGATGTCGATGAGATATTTGTCTCTGTGTGGCCATTGAGGGCAGTCAAGTACAGAACTTACCCTTGGAGGGGAATGGACCGCGTTGGCACCAGTTTCTTCTGTAAGGGCAGCTGGTCCTTCTGCGACTCTTTGCCATTGGCCTTCCAAGACTGTGGAGAATCTGGGCTGGGCTCCGTCAACCACGATAACCTAGAAGGTCCCTTGAGTGATTAAGTCCTGCAGCTAGCCATCCACAGGAGTTCATACCTGGGCCTTCCTATGTGTCTGGCTTCATACCCAGTGATTTACAAAACCTTTGTCCCACCCTTTGGTTCCCTGGCCTGGGACAGCAGGTGAAGAAGGGAGGGCCAGATTGTTGACCACAGCACAGTGTTTCTAGGGGCTCCATGGACTAGAGTCTTTCTCTGCTTCTGGCTCCAGCTCCTCAGAACGCCTGTGTCTGGGGACCTGGGAGCAATGTGGGGGCTGCGACAGGGCTCTGTCCTAGGTGTCTAGGCATCTTGTACCTGTAAGGAAACTTCTTGATGAGCTTCTCCCGAGTATTGATTTTGTGTCTCTTATACCGGTGGAGCTTCTTATAGCCTCCTGATTCCATCACAGAGGGGGTCAGACTGTGTCCTTCTCAGTTATGGCTAGAAAACAAGAGGAAGCTGTCAGAGCGGAGGCAAAAGGAGGAGGTCATACGTGGTATCTGTGGAGCTCATTTGACTTCACCACTGATGGAGAACATTGTTATTGCCCCACTTTTCATGGGAAGGAAAGCAAGAGCCACAGCAGGGGAACTCTTTGCTTGCATCCAACCGAGAAAACCAGGAATGTGCATTTCCAGAATAGCTCAGACTATCCTCAATAGCCAGGGTGTCAGGAGTTCCTTCCAGCTGCCTGCCATCCATTTTCAGGATGGCCCTGTCAGCTGCTGCTTCCTCTAGGCAGGGACCACTGCAGAGTCCAGGGAACCTTTTGACTCCATGACACCCATCCCAGGCATGTCTACTGGCATCTTACATCTCTAAGGGGCACGGGACTGTCCACACAGGCTAGTGGAGCTCACCAAGGCAGCCTCACTTAAATCTTGAATGTGGATTAGGACTTGGATAACAAAGCCCCCAAATTGCTCCTTTTCAGGCAGTTGGAAGAGGGAGAGCTGCTGTGGCCCCATGGACTCCGATGCCACACTCAGAAACCTTGGTCAGATGGGAGGCCAAGGTCCGGGGTGTTCTGGGAGCAAGCAAACCAGCAGAGCTGTACATTGGTGCACAGGCTTAGGTGACACCACAGGGCTTGACTCTGGCCATGGTTCTGTGTGCCAGGGTACCATGGGAGCCATATACCCCATGACTTAGGGCTAACAGGGCCCACAGGCCCATTGGAAGGTCAGAAGCCTCTGAGGTCATAATCAGTGACAGGGTAGCAGCTGACGTCTCTCACAGAAGCTGAGGGCAAGTCTATCAGCACAGGAGATCTGCCGGGGAATCTTATCTTGCTAACTAATGGGAGAGGAGAGAAGGAGGGAGAGAGAAAGAGAAAGAGAGAGAGGGGAGGGAAGGGAAGGAGGGAGGGAGGAAGAGGGAGGGGAAGGGAGGGAGGAAGGGAGGGAGGGAGGGAAGAAGGAAGGGGGGGGAGGGAGGAAGAGAAGGAAGAAACTGAAGAGGAGCCAGGCAGCAAGATGGGCTGAGAGGTCTGGAGATTTGGTCAGTGCTGTCAGGAGATGCCCAAGAGTCTGGAAAGCCAAATGGGCTGTTTCTGGTGACCCAATGAGCGTTATCAGGAGTTTGATTCCCAGCAGGCTGCTCAATTCCTTAAGCCTAGATTTAGGCTTTCTCCCCTGTCTCCTGGGGCAGAAGAGCCTCCCAGCTTCTTAGACAAGTGTCTTGAAAGGAACAGCAGGGAAGTCAGGTGAGGGCACTGAGAGTTTGAGCAGAAGACGCTGGTTCTTCACTGGGACCACCTTACAGTGGCTGGGGTTGGCAGAGTGGTCTCAAAGTGCAGAGAGCCAGATGAGAACACAGCTCTTACAGTCTGGTGGTTCGGACTCTCCCAAAAGACTCGTGTGCCTCAGTGTGGTCCCCAGCTGATGGATCCAATCACGAGAGGCGATTAGATCGTGAGAGCTCTGAAATGATCGAAGGGTCAGCCCACCGATGAATTCATGATTTGATGGTACCATTGGGGAAGGATAATGCAAACAGAAGCTGGCCTTGTTGGAGGAAATAGCGCACTTGGGCTGTCATTTGTGTTCACAGCAACTGTAACCGTAATTAAGATCAAACTTGGTACTAGGAGTGGGGTATTGCTGTGAGAGGCCTGACCATGTGTTTTGGGAAGAACCATGGAAGGACTTTGGAACTTTGGACTAGAAAACTATTGCGTATTGAGAACTCAGTGGGCCTGTTGTGTAGGAGCTTGGAAGATAGTGTTAGGAGTGGTGCAGATGATGGAGGCCTAGTGTGAAGCTTCAGAGGGAAGCAAATACTCTACATGGCAATATGTGTGAAGAGTCTATAGTTTCTAGGCAGCTGGGGCTGAAGAGTCAGGAGAGCTTTAACAAGAGATTGGTGCTACTGAAGTGAAACCTTTGCTTTACTGGAACAAGTGATGCTGGTTAGCCAGAGCTGAGAAGTTAGCAGTGATTAAGAAAAGACCAGTGTTGGCACACACCTTTAACCCCAGCACTTCGGAGGCAGAGGCAAGTGGATCTCTGTGAGTTCCAGGCCAGCCTGGGCTACGAGAGCAAGTTCCAGGGTAGGCCCCGAAGTTACAGAGAAGCACTGTCACCAAAAACCAAAAGAAAGAAAAGAAAAAAGACCAACATCATCAAGGTGAAATCTCAGTAGCGTAAGAGTCACCCAGGTGATACTGTTTCTGAAGGCTTGAAGGAGTCATGGAGAGCAGCTGGGCTTGGCACCATGAAGAAAGCCTAGGAGAGGCTGCACTTTTCTGCATCAGTTTCTTTATTCTTCTCCTGCTGTTCTCCTGTTCTGTAAAGTTTCTAGTTTATACACACATGCAAAACAAAGACAATTCTGAGCTTAGACGTCCCTTTATCTTTGAAGGTCCCAAATGTGATCTAGGCGAAAGACTCCTTTCCTGACTGCATGTCCTGACAAATGGAAGATAGTTGCAGGGAGGTGGCTTCTAAGGTATCTCAGGGAACAAACTGGAGAACCAAGATTATTGACTGTGTGACTAAATTTCCCACTAGAGGTCCCACAGAGTTGGGAGGGATGGCCCAAAATACCAGTACATGGAAAGAATTTTGCCTAATAATTCATACTCTGCTGAATCTTGTGCCAAGGGAGAGTGCTTATGGCTTCACAAGAGATCCACTGTGAGAATCAGTGGATATGCAAAAGGAAGTGGACCCAGTGCCATGCGAACTGGGTTTGCCTCCATCAGAACACATTTATTTTGGTGGGTCAGCCTTCTGCCTTTTCAGCTGCAATCTCACTGCATGATTCCTGCAGACCGCAGCAACTTCATGAAACTGAAAAGCTTCCATATGACAAAGGACACCATCATTAGAACAAGGTGGCAGGCCACAGAATAGTAAAAGATCTTTACAAATTTGTGCATCTAATAGAGGACTAATATCTAAAATTTATAAAGAACTGAAAGAACTGGACACCAAGAAAACAAATAACCTAATTAAAATGGCATACAGAACAAGACAGTTTTGAAAAGATGGAACACAAATTTCTGAGTAACACTTAAGAAATGTTCAACATTCTTGGTCATTAGAGAAATGCAAATAAGATCTTCTTTGAGATTTCATTATATACTAGTCAAAATGGCTAAAATCAATAAAACAAATGACAGTTCATGATGGCAAAATGTGGAGGTAAGAGAAACATCTATGTCTGTTGGGAGTGCAAACTTGTACAGCCATCATGGAAATCAGTGTGGTGGTTCCTCAGGAAGGTAGGAATAGATCTCCCTCAAGACCCAGCCATACCACTCTTAAGCATATATCCAGCCAAAGGACTCTGCATCCTACTGCAGAGACACTTGCTCATCCATGTTCATTACTGCTCTATTCACAACAGCCAGAAACTGGAAATACCCAGATGTTCATAAACAGATGAATAGATAAAGAAAATGTGGTATATTTACGTAATGGAATATTGTTCAGCTGTTGAATAAAAAGAATCATGAAAATTTCAGGTGAATGGATGGATCTAGAAAAGAATCATTCTGAGTGAGACAGGTAACTCAGACCCAATAAGACAAATATGGTATGTATTCCTTTATATGTAGATGTTAGCTTTTAAACCTTTGATAGGAATGCTATTTCTTGAATAATCACAGAGTTTGGGTATAAAGTAAAGGACTGGGTAGGGGATCTTCCAAGGAAGGGGAAATATGATGCATAGTTATGGAGGAAGGGGGCTGGAATGGAAGGATTAAACAGAAAAGAGGGAGGAAGTGTGGTATAGGGGAAGGACTATGGTGAGAGACAGTTAACACTCAGGGTCATTGGAGCGGTTATATAGAAATCTCCTGCAGTAGTAGCTTCTTTATGTATATGAAAGAAATCTAAATGAAATCACCAAATATCAGTGGAGACAAAGTCCCCAATGGACATCTTTCACCACCAAATGAAACCTGCAGTGCCATACATGTATTACATCTAATTGAGCTGTTAGTAACAAACAACTCAGGTTGTTGCTTGTTTGGTTGTTGCTTGTTTGCTTTATCGCCAAGGCTATTGGTTGCTCTCTGCAAACTGATGGTAAAGCCATATTGCTGCAGAAAACACCTACATACCTCATTGAACACGGAGAAGTTGAACTGGTGTCTACTTAGAGTCTTCACCCCTACTGACTAGTGTTCATGGTACTGGAAGGTAGTCTGCATGCTACCAGAAGAGACAGCTAAACATTAGCCCAGCTACAAACCCTTCCATCTACAATGGTTGTAGAAGTTAGCTCAATCTGGGAAATAACCAGGCTAGCTAAAAGATAATTATATTTTTACTTATTATAAGGGCAAGAACTCACAAAATAGGAACAAGAAGTACAAGCTCAGCTGTGCCGCGAGGGAACCACAGAGAGAGAGAGAGAGAGAGAGAGAGAGAGAGAGAGAGAGAGAGAGA